CTTCTAATGCTGTTTTCACGTTTCATCCCCGGTCTGCACGATGCAGCTCCAACAGTCGTCTAAAGGTTATAGCTGTGATATTCCAATCATATTCTCACTGACAGCCCCCCTCCTTTTCAACCCATATAATACATCTTACACCACAACATTGAATTGGCCGCTCTACACCACAGTAAAAATACATCAGGTCTTGGCTGCATTTTCTTTTTTTCTCCTGCAGTCAATGCAGAGATGTAATTAAATCAGACAGAAATCACCCTCGCCGGCCCTGGTCTATAAGAACATGTTCAATAACCGCTGGGAATGGTCACAACTCCACATACACCTGCTGCTGCTGCTGCTGCTGTGGTTCAATTATGTAATCACATTCAAGCACTGTGAATAGATCCACTGAAGATCAGTCTCGCTCACGAGAAATGTTTAGACGCAGCATCTGTCCATACCTTGAATTCAAATGAAATGATCTCATCTGCCTTTCATTTTCACAGTAACCTTGGCAATGACAGCCTGTACATGTCCTACGCTGCTCTCATGGCTAAGGTAATACTTGATCCATATGAACGATATTACGTGATTTGAAATGTTTCATTAATTAATGTAAGATTATTTAGAGACATAAATTATCTTAAGAACAAGGGAGAAAAATAAAAATTAATGGATTGGGGAAAGAATGATTGGGAAAATATTAAGACTTTTATCTCCAAGTCTTGTCTCTACATAAAAAATGCATCCCAAAAAGGGCATCTGATGAATTTGTGAAATCTTACATCACTTGAGTATTGATTTATTGTTCTTTGAACTCCCCATAAATCACAATCCTCCACTGTACGGCTGCTGCAGAGCTGCCACAGAGAGGACGACGGTGAGAAACCGGAGGTGGAAAGCTTTGAAGTGAGTGAAGGTGTTTCCACTGATAAAGAGCAAAACCCAAGAATGTTTTCTGTATATTTCAGCAAATTACACAGAGAATTGTTTTTTGTGGCTCAGGAGAAGGAGATGGAGAAACAGAGGTTACTCTACCAGCAGGCCAGGTTGCATCTGCGTGGAGCCTCAGAGATGGTCCTGCAGTCTATCAGCGCCAGCAAAGGCAAAGAGAGTCCGCCACATAAATATCAAATCATAAAATATAAGTGTTCTGCTTTGTTAATGTCATCATTATCTGTGGTCATCCTGTCTTAAACTGTAATTTATTTTTCATATCAGGTTCCATGGGGTCCATAGTTGCCCCCACCTTGAAGCTGGGTATAGCCGTCCTCAATGGAGGAAACCTGACAGTTCAACAGGTAGATGTTAACAAAGGTGTCATGGAATGGCAACTGTGACCGTTCTTGTCTTTCTGGTCCTGAAAAAACACACACACACACGCACACATATATATATTCTCAAAAATAGAAAAAAATGTATTTATACATATGTGTATATGTATATATATGTGTGTCTACACACATATATAATATATAAATATGTGTATAAATATACATATAAATATATGTAAATATATTTATTTGTAGTGACACACATATATACATGTGTTTATATATGTGTATATATTTTTTGTTGTATATGTATATATAAAATATAAATGTGTATAAATAAACATATAAATATATGTAAATATATTTATTTGTATTTGTAGTGACACACGTATATACATATGTTTATATATGTGTATATATTTTTTGTGTAAATATGTACGTATATACATATCTACATATGTATATACGTACACATATATGTGTTTATGACACACATATTTACATGTACATGTATATACGTACACATATATGTGTTTATATATGTTTATATACAAACACACATACATATAAATATATATATTTCAAATTAATTATACCTTTTTTCTTATTCACACCTCTTTTTCTGTATCTTTGATGCCTTTGTGTGACAGAAAATGCTGGATTACCTCAGAGAGAGGAGGGATGTTGGCTTCTTTCAGAGCATGGCCGGACTCATGCGGTCATGCAGGTGAGTGAATTTGGAAAAATCCTCCGACCAAATCTGTCAAACGTCACAGAGGGAGGCAATCTCACAGATACCCGTTGACAAAAACGTGAGGTTTGCTTACTGTATGCATCTGTTATCCAGTGTTCTGGATCTGAACGCATTTGAGAGGCAGAACAAAGCAGAGGGATTAGGCACGGCCTTGGAGCAGCTCTCAGGTACTGTTTCATATGGAAATCAGCCATGTCAAAGCGGAGGAGCCCACTGTGACGTCTCCTCCAACGTTGTACACCGTCTAAATTCAAACTCCAAACTCATATCTTTTTTTCCAAGCCCTTTCGCGGTGTTGAATTTTATTAACAGCTGTCGTCTTTCACACCACTCTGACCCAATTTCCCTCTTGTCATTTATTCCTTCTTACCTTTTCTTCAGGCTGCGCTGTTGCTTTTGCTGCTGTTATTTTGCGGTGGTTTTATGCATATCTCTCTCCCAGGGGACAAAGTGATGCCTGACAAGGATCTGACCTGTGACCTGTTCCGATTTCTACAGCTGCTGTGTGAAGGACACAACTCAGGTTATTTGCCCTCTGGGGTTTTCACGCGCTTGGATACTGTCCCATATATCAGTCTGCAAGGAAAATAGGAGAGATGTTGAAACAGAGTAAAAAAAAAAGACTTGTTTTTAACCTGAATAATTGGGGTTGCAGTAATTACTTCACCAAATGACTCCACTGAGTTGTTTTTGCTACAGAGTTAGATGTGCAGTGAAATGTGTTTCTATCTTTTCTGTCATGTATTAGAATTTCAGAATTACTTGAGAACACAGTCAGGAAACAACACCACTGTGAACATCATCATATCCACAGTGGACTATTTACTGAGAGTGCAGGTAGGTTTTCATTGACGTGTTTCACACTTTGTCAATAGACGTTGCCAAGTCTGTGAAGTGAATTAAAGCATTTACCTTTATTTAAAAAAACCTACATCACTGTAGGAGTCGATCAGTGACTTCTACTGGTACTACTCTGGTAAAGATGTCATCGATGAACATGGCCAACACAACTTCTCCAAGGCAATCGAAGTGTCAAAACAAGTCTTCAACACACTCACTGAGTACATCCAGGTCAGCCAGGTCACTTAGCATTAGCATTAGCATTCATTCGATTTTTAATTTTTATTATTTTAGAAAATATCTTGAATAATCAAGGTCTCCTTCCAGGGTCCGTGTACTGGGAATCAGCAGAGTCTCGCTCACAGCCGACTGTGGGACGCCATCGCTGGATTCCTCCACGTTTTTGCCCACATGCAAATGAAGCTGTCGCAGGTGAAGTGTCACGATCATACTCTCAGTTTGTTCCGTCCGTTTGCTACAGTTAAAAACAGTGAACATTTGTAATTTCACGTAGGATCCGAGGCAGATTGATCTCCTGAAGGAGCTGATGGATCTCCAGAAGGACATGGTGGTGTTTCTACTTTCCATGCTGGAAGGTACGGTGTGGCAGCATTTTGGATCAATAAGATTAATGATTCCACCCACATTCCACATTCTTTTGTCTTTGTTTTTTTTAGGTAATGTTGTCAACGGGACCACTCACTTACACTTTTTTTTAGGTAATGTTGTCAACGGGACTATTGGAAAGCAAATGGTGGACATGTTGGTGGAATCTACGGGTAATGTGGAGATGATCCTCAGGTTTTTTGACATGTTCCTCAAGCTTAAGGACTTCACCTCCTCCGATGCCTTCAGGGAGTACAACGCTGACCACAGCGGATGCATATCCAGGAAAGAGTTTCAGAAAGCCATGGAGAACTGCAAACGTTTCTCAGCAGCCGAGACTAATTTCATCCTCTCCTGCACCGAGACGGACAAAAGTGAAACCGTGGATTACAAGTCTTTCGTGGAATGTTTCCACGAGCCGGCCAAAGACATCGGCTTCAGCATCGCTGTCCTGCTCACAAATCTGTCGGAACACATGCCCAAAGACTCCCGGCTGCAGACGTTCTTGGAACCGGCGGCGTGCGTCCTCACTTACTTTCGGCCCTATCTGGGCCGCATCGAGATCCTGGGCAGCGGGAAGCGGATCGAGCGTGTCTACTTTGAGATCAGCCAATCCAGCCGCACACAGTGGGAGAAGCCGCAGGTCAAGGAGTCCAAGAGGCAGTTTATCTTTGATGTCATCAACAAAGCGGGAGAGAAGGAAAAAATGGAAATGTTTGTTAACTTCTGTGAAGACACCATCTTTGAAATGCAACTGGCAGCCCAAATATCTGACTCTGACCCGGGAGAGAGAAATGCAGAGAATGGACAAGATGGAAACAGCACCAACAAAGAAGAAGAAGAAGCTGAAACAAAGGAAATGTCTTTTTTGGGTCAGTGGTTTCTGCTGCTAACAGGTCTGTTTTCTTTGACGAACCTAAAGACGTTAATGAGAATGACTCTGAAGGAGGTTCTGGTGTCGGTTCTGAGCCTGGTAAAGGTAGTTTTAAAGGCTCAGGTGCGGTGGAGTTGTCTGGTGATCCGGACATTCCTGTACGTCCTTTTCATAGTTTTTGTCAGCGGAGGTCTCATAGAAAAAGCCAAAAGGATGAAGATTTCAGATCTGTTCGCTGGTATCCTTGAGCCAACCCTTGATGAGGTCACTAACGTGCCAAGTGGTGTGAATCGGCTCAGGAAGTACTCGGCCTGTTTCTCCTCCCAGACAGAATTGAGGGAGATTGGAAAGGAGGCAGCTGTGACCCCCCGGAGGGAGGTGGAGGTAGTGTCAGACATATTTGGACTGAAAGTGAAGAAAGAAGGAGGTCAGTACAGAATTATGGCTCAAGACCTAACAGGTAGCCTGAGTGACCTGTTCAGCATCACCTCTGTGGACTTCCATGGAACGCATCAGAAGAAGGTATGAAATCACTTTAATGGTAAAAAAAAAGAGAGTGTATTTTAATAACCTATTGTTTTCACACTAATCATGTTTAATCTTACATAAAGTTGAGTTTTTTTTCTTGAAATTTCAAGGTTCACACTGTGGCAGAAGAAAATGCAGAAAATACAGGAGGGTCTGAAAAGGAGGAAACAAAGTGAGGCCTTCAACTTGAAAATAAAAAAATCAAATCAAATCTCAGATTTAATATTGAAGTTCATTTTCATGTTTTACAGCATAAATGAAGGAACAGAATTGGACCAGAAGAATTTGAATGAGAAACCGGAGGCCGAAAGAGGAGTTAAAATACGACCTAATAAGTCAAAGAGCCGTCGGTCGGTTTTCTGGGAGATGATACACACGTTGAATCTCAGTCTACTGGTAAAACATTTACAGTACATTCTTAACCACAGATATAACTTCAAGGAGAATTCAATATTTTAAAATGGAGAAATCTAGCAGTTTGTGACACTTGCGTTGATATTTAGGGGTCTCAGATTGTGTTTAGGGGTCCAGTGCCCAAAATATCACTACTAGAGACATGCAACATGAAGCTGTTTCTCTTTGAGAGCCAGTGTTTTTATGTCATTTGTCTCATTTTTACTTGAAAACTAACCTTCATGTTCCATCTGTTTCCCTCCAGAACTACTTTGCAAGAAATTTTTACAACATGCGTTTACTGGCCCTTTTTGTGGCCTTTGCCATCAACTTCATCCTCCTCTTCTACAAGGTGAGAGTGTGATCACTGCCTACATCTTAAGTCGATCTCATTAATAATGTAATCCAGATGATATTTTTGACCATCCCAGGAGACGGCGGGGGCAACATTAATCTCACTATTTTTTTATTTATTTTAATTATATTTTATTTTTGTCAAATAACAGGATTTCTCTCCTCAGGTATCACCCTCGCCTGCACCACGGGTGGAGGAGGAAGGTGCGGTCACAGCGGTTCACAGCACGGTCGAGGGTTCTGTCGCCGAAGACCACGACGAGGCCAGAGTTTGTTTTGTTTTGGAGGAGACCAGCGGATACATGGAGCCGTCTCTCTGCCTCTTCGCCGTGGCTCACACCATTATCTCCTTCTGCTGTATTATCGGTTATTACTGCCTGAAGGTACCGGCCTCTCCACACACTTTAAATGCATTTATTGCACTTCTTCTTATGAGGTATTGATTTTCTTAGATAACCTCAGTAGTCTGTGAGACAGGCTGCCTGATCCCACTTGGAGGAAAACTTCTGTTTCTGCCACGTTGTTATGTTATTGTCATCATGCATACACCATATTAAATATATTTAAAAATATATATTTGCTGGATTTGATCCAGACTGCGTCGTTTCTAATTGAGTGGTGTGAACGGCAGGTACCGCTGGTGATCTTCAAGCGTGAGAAGGACGTAGCACGGAGGCTGGAGTTTGACGGACTCTACGTGACGGAACAGCCCCCCGAGGAGGACATCAAAGGCCAGTGGGACCGACTGGTCATCAACACACCGTACGTTCAGAGTCACTAATGAAAAACCAAAGATCCTAATGAGCGTTAACTGATGTGTTTGAACGTCTTGTGATTTCAGGTCATTTCCAAGTAACTACTGGGATAAATTTGTAAAGAGAAAGGTAAAACCTTCCTCTCTTAACGTTTGATCCTCTCTAGAATGTGCTTACGTTTGTACTGGGTTTTATTGTTTGCATATTTCACCCTGTGACACTACAGTCTATTAAAGAGCTTAGTTAAATTTAATGGAGGATTTAATGGCAGGTGTGATTAATCCCCCGTCAGGTGACGAGATAATCTTTTACTGTCTCCAAAGATGCTGTGATATCTTTTCTCCTCCGTATATAAAAAACGCTGCCTTATTAAGAGTCATTTATTATATTGATTGTTGACGATGTTTGAATTAAATTTTTGGTTCATTAAAATTTAGATTAGGTTCCTGAAATGTGCCGAAGACATCTACATGACAATACCAGTACTTTGAAATATACATACAGTACACACTAAAACCTAATGACAATTTTATGGAGTGGAACCCTTTTGAATAATCTTAGGTTGTGTAGAAAAATAAATAGTGTAATGTCTTGCCACTTTATGGAGAACCCTTTTGAATAATCTTAGGTTGTGACAATTTTATGGAGTGGAACCCTTTTGAATAATCTTAGGTTGTGTAGAAAAATAAATAGTGTAATGTCTTCAGGTACCTATGCTAATATACTTTGGTATATTAGACTGGTGTTTCCCAACTGTTTTCTACTTTTCTTCTCGCAAAACGTATATGAAATGAAATATAATAATCTCCTAGTTTAAATATACTCACACTTCACTAATATCTCAGCCTGTTTATTTGAAGACACTGATATAGTCGCAGGAATTGAAGAAAGACATAGATCTTCTTAAACAGCTCTATATGCATTATATATATATGTACATATATAGTACATTAAATGTATGTCTTTGTCTTGTGAACAGGTGATGGATAAGTACGGTGAGCTCTACGGTCATGAGAAGATCAGTGAACTGCTGGGTTTGGACCAATCAGCTTCAGACTTCAGTTCTGGGAGAAAAGGAAGGAAGTGGCTGAAGAGGGACTCGGGTATTGGTGCACTGTGAGTCCATGACGTATCTAAAAATCCAATAAAAGCCACTAGTCTTGATGTTGGCAGCCTCACATTGGTTATTCACTCATTTATCTTTACAAATGGATTAGATTTGAGTGGCAGGGAATTAAAAAGAACTGCTTTTTAAAGAGGTTCAACCTTTTGACGCCTCAGACACTGATACAGAGCAGAGTCAATAAAAAAACATCTACACATTCATAAATACTTGTTTTTTCAATTCGTAGCAGCTCCTGCCTCAAAACTGCACTGAACTTCAGTTAAAGGAAATAAAAATACAAATAAATGGAAAGAAAATACTGAAATTGAAAATTTGTTTTAATGATGCACCAGTCCAATTATGTTTCCTTAAAATTAACAATACATTTAAATGTATTTATCCAGCAATAATTCCTAACAAAGAAACTTAAGTCCAATTAACAATACATTTAAATGTATTTATTTATTTATTTGACTTATATAATATAGCCTGTTTTGCATTCACTGGCCGTTTCACTCAAAGTTTGTCCGTGGGGTGAGAACATGGACAAAATGGTCCCGGAACATTATGTTGTACCAGAGGAAGAACAGTGCATTCTGAAAACCAGACGACAGACTGGCTGCTTCACAAAAGACACCGGAGAGACAGGGCTCTGATTTTAGCCGTGGACATTTTGACCTCGTCCCGACACCACATGTGTCTGTGACATGATTCTTGTTTCATTTGATTCCAGCTTCCCCTCTGCTGACATCAAATATCAGATCTGGAAACTTGGAGTTGTGTTCACCGACCATGTAAGTACATTTGTTTTTTTTAATTTCACAGTAAGCTGACAGACCGGCGCCGCGTCCGACGGTTACTGTTAATAGCTCGTAGATCTGACGTTTTATGGTTTAATTGTCAATTGTTTTATACCTCGTTGCTCTGCGCTAACGTTGTGTTGATCCGATCACAGGCTGCGGAGCTGAAGGTGGTAATATCCTGTGATTCTGTCTTATCTTAAACACACATCCGTGTCTTGTCTTCTCCTGTTCTGCTAATCTGGGGGATATGGTCCATTATGTCTTTAGGCACTTATGGGTTTCCATGTGTGTGTGTGTTGTTCTGTGTGTGTGTGTGTGTGTGTTTGCAGTCCTTCCTGTACCTGGCCTGGTACATGGCCATGTCAGTTCTGGGTCACTACAACAACTTTTTCTTTGCGGCCCACCTCCTGGACATCGCCATGGGCTTCAAGACACTTCGCACCATCCTGTCCTCTGTCACACACAATGGGAAGCAGGTGTGTGTGTGTGGGGGGGGGGGGGTGAGGGGAGGGGGGGGGGGGGGGAGGTTGAAGGGTAGAGGGATAATTTTGTGGATAAATTCTGGTTATTTTTTTGTGGTAAAAAAATTAGTTTAAAATTAGGATAAGACTTGTAGTCAGATTAGAATTAGGGTAGGGATTGAGATTAGGAATATATATATTTATAAGGTTAGGGTTAATATTGGCAGTGAAGGATTACAACAGTAAAAAAACACAAAAATCAATGTGTGTGTGTTTGTTTGTGTGATTTTTGAGCAATTTGCAAGTGTGTTACGTTTACGTTTTTTTTAAAGACATGTTTAATCCAATTGCCTCGTTTGTGTGTGTGTGTGTGTGTGTGTGTGTGTTCAGTTGGTCCTGACTGTTGGATTGTTGGCAGTCGTCGTCTACCTCTACACCGTCGTGGCCTTCAACTTCTTCAGAAAATTCTACAATAAGAGCGATGACAACGGCACTGAAGACATGAAGTGCAACGACATGCTTACTGTGAGCTGTGGTGCCCACACACACACACACACACACACACACACACACACACACAGCTTTGGCTCTCCGTGTTGATCTTTCCAACACCAACACAGCAGCTCTCTTCATTTTCCAGCTGCTCAGATTGAGACGGTGATCCTGAGCTCAGCCTCAGTCCTTCCACTGTTTTACCATAAAGTGATGGACACGTAGACGGGGGACACGCTTCAGGCTGCAGTTCTTCGTTTTGTTTTTTTTTGGGATTTTTTTTTTAACATAGAAACACAACCACCTGCTGTATTATACTACAGAGCTGAATGTCACTCACTTTATGGGAATAAAACGGTCCCAAAAAGATACAATTACAGCATGCAGTGTGTAATTATGGAGGTTTATTTTTTTCACCAACACTGAAACAGAACAAGAGCCAAATGTGAGTCTGACTTGATTGAATCTGAATCCATAACCATTTACATTTAGAGCGTCTCCAGCAGACGACTTGTTTATCAATTCCCATTGGTTTTTTTTCATCAACCTCTGCACCAGAGCAGCTGGAACTGGAACCTAATTTGACCAGTTCAAAGACTCACGAAGATCAGTTTCATTTTTTTATCTAACATTAATGCTAATTTTAGCCATTTGTGAATTAATTGCTCGTTGTTAGTTTTCTGCTTTTCAGTCACACATCAGCTGATTCCTGCCCTCATCCACCAAAGCTCTTAATCCTCCACATCTGCATTTTTATTCAGTGAAATTGCAGCTCTGTCTTTTTTTTTTGCCTGTTGGCTTCCAATATACTCCTTTAGACACGGACCCTTATTTTGCTGCGGCAGATTTGGGATAAATAGTGGCACAAACAACTGTTGCAAATGGGAATTTTTGTTTTCAGGCCCGTGGTTACATCATGAAAATGATCCCAGAGATGATCCTTCTCAAATGACTACAAATTACAGTCTGTGCAAAAGAGTGACTGTTTATCACCACTGACCTTCACCACTGACCTTCACCACTGACCTTCACCACTGACCTTCACCACTGACCTTCACCACTGACCTTCACCCAACCAATGTCCAAGGCGTTGACATGTCACTTGATTTTCTCCATAGAGGAACTGTGACACATGAATGTAACGTGTTCACATGTTTTTTTTCCCAGTGTTACATGTTCCACATGTATGTGGGAGTGCGTGCTGGCGGAGGCATCGGTGACGAGATCGACGACCCCGCCGGATGTCCAAGGCGTTGACATGTCACTTCATTTTCTCCATAGAGGAACTGTGTATGACACATGAATGTAACATGTTTTTTTCCCAGTGTTACATGTTCCACATGTATGTGGGAGTGCGTGCTGGCGGAGGCATCGGTGACGAGATCGACGACCCCGCCGGAGATGAGTTTGAGGTGGAGCGTATTGTCTTTGACATCACGTTCTTCTTCTTTGTCATCATCATCCTCCTGGCCATCATTCAGGGTCTGTACATTTGTCTCTGTCTCTTCTAAACTGCCATCTGTTGTAGTTACCAACAAACCAAGCCATCGTCACAACGTTCTTCAAACGTTCTTGTGTGCTGACATCACTCATTGCTTCTTCTTTGAGGCTGCCAAACAAACTTAAGATGCATTACTGCCACCTACAGTACAGTGGCTGGAACGTGTGCCAAAGTTTTGTCAGTAATTGTTTTATTGGGATGAATGTCTTTCAGGTTTAATAATTGATGCCTTTGGGGAGCTCCGTGACCAGCAGGAGCAGGTGAAGGAGGACATGGAGGTAAAAAAAAACAAAAAAACCTAACAAAAGGTGTGAAGACCAAATTTGTAAAAATAATAATAAATATATATGTAAAAAAATCATATCTCTTGATCAACTTTTGTCCTGTTCAGAAGGTTAAGATTTTGAGATCAGTCAAATATCTATAGATACTCGTGTGAGTATTTATATATCGATACCACAGAACCTATACTCCCATCACTAGTTACTAGTCAGTACAGGAGACTAGTAATTTTTCCATTGGCTGCTGGGATTGGCTCTAGCTCCCCCTCTGGCCCTAAAATGCACTGAGCAGTTGAAGTCAAATATATTGATTTTTTTTTTTTTTAAATTGACATTTCAATTTTGGATATTTGATCGCAGTTCCCATCAACATTTCCTCTTAAATACAATTTCCTTTTATGCCAAAAAATCACTGTAACACATTTTTCAAACTGGTGAAGAGGACGTATTAAACCCAAACAGCAGGAGAAGGTTTACACCTGCTTATCTAATCAGCCAAACCTCAGGTGCTGTTTACTTTGCTGCCACCAGCCACAACAAATCACCTCTTTCATGAATCCACACTTGTTTTATCTGAGCGTCGTAAAAACACAGACTGTCGGAATTCAAAAGAAGCTGCACATTTTCATTTTCATTGTTGTTTGTTTCTGCTAAAAGCCCAGAGACACCGTGGGGAATATGTCTTTTTAGTGCTCCCCAAAATATATTCAACAAACGTGTCCCTTTGTGTCTCCTGAAAACCTGGCACTGAACGGTCCTGGAAGTCTGGAGTGGTGTGTTATTTGCAGTCTTTCACCTAATGTGGGCGTCCCTCGAATGTCTTTGTGAAAAGAAACAACTTAAAAGGTGTCATTTTCTTCCGCTCGGAGACTAAATACCACTTTGGAGTCGCAGGGCACGAAAACAAAAAATCTTCTCGTCTTCCGTTTTGGGATTTTATTTCCTTTTTTTTTATTGTTGTTGTTGCTGTGAATGCTCAAGAGAGCCTGGTGTTTGTCCTTTCTCCTCCTGCAGACCAAATGTTTCATATGTGGGACAGGAAGTGAATATTTCGACACGGTCCCTCACGGGTTTGAGACCCACACCCTGCAGGAGCACAACCTGGCCAACTACCTGTGAGTTACAACAGACAAATGTTCCTGCTCAGAAGTCACAGCTCGTAACTGTACCATGCTACACAAAAGCGAAGCACCAGAATATTTCTGCATGTTGCACCATCACAAATCTATTCTGGGGAGAAAAAAAAACAAAAATGTGTCCATTAACACATTTTTGTTCCTGGTGTAAAAACAATGCAAGCTGTTTCCCACCTTGTCCTCTGTAACTTTGAAGC